GGCTGAAACTAACTAGCCTGCCTCTCCTAGGCCCTGCCACCCAGGCTGGCAAGGTAAGGGATCTTCACAAATAGAACTCCAGAATGCGATAGTTGTTCTCTGTCTTCTACTGGATTGGTTATTAGGAATGTTTTAGACCAGCTACATATCACTAATAATACATTCAATTACACTATCTGTTCTAAGTCAGTCAACCCTTATGAAAAAAGTTTCATAGAAAAACTGCATTTCACTCCTATCTTCACTTCAATAACATGAAAGTTGTGGTTTCTACTTTTCCCAGAGCTGGCTCTTGCTGGTCTAGGAAGCTGTCCTTGGTGACATCAAAAATCCTAGTTCTTGCCAACTGTGAAATTATAGGTAGGCATTTTTTTTTTCAGGATCAAGTATACATGTATCAGAAGCTCCACCTGGCATTTTCCACCTCAAATGCTTCCTCTTTTGACTTCATTCTAACCCAATTAATTCTTTGGGGAACTGGCAGGCAATACTAAGGATCTCTAGTTACGGCTAGTAAAGAAGTATGCCTAAATAGCCACCGAGAGTCGAAGTAGACAAAGTCAACATAGACAATATTAAGCTTGATGGGTCACTAGTTTGACTCATTAAACGTTGTGCCATCAAGTTATTTCCAATCTATGATGACCCTAAGGCAAACCTATTACTTATCATCATGAATGCCCTTCTTAAGGGTCTTGCTCATTAAAATATAAACAGAAGAGATAACCCTTCAAAGAGAAGAAACAGACAAGCAGAGGACCATCTACTGGCAGTTATTAAATAGGGCAGTGCCAGTCCACAATACAAATAATCAGTTACTAATCCCTGGAAGTGGGAAGAACACAATAGTAACTAATGGGCACAAATATGGCATGAGTCCCTGGCAATGGACATAAACAAACTGCTGACGTTCCATATCAGATAGGGTCATATAGACTTCCTTAAGAATGTTAATGTATCGCTTGTGGTTTCATGCTATGTTAGATAGCTGATGAATCAGCTCATTAATATTTTAAAATTGCTTTAAGAATGACAATGGCATGCCCTAATGAGGTGGTGGGATGGGATAATCACAGTGGCTTTATCTGGCAGGTAGATCACTTCTGGTGGTAAAAATGGTCCTCCAGACTGGGGCCACAACAAATTAAGGAAAAGGTTAAAGCTCTCTTTCCTCCCTCTGTTGTTTCTTGGTAGCTATATCTAGTTTGGCTACTAACAATAGTGATGGAAGATATCTTCATTTTGTAGATTGGAAGCAAACTCTGAGAGCACAGAGCATTTGGTGTTACCTTCTAGTTAGAAATATTCTAGCAAATTCTGCTTTATTGAGTTCAGCCTACTCAGAAGAGACCTAAGAAACCCAAAATAAATGCCCAGGCTCAGTCTTTTCTCAAAGTCCTGGTCAAGTTTAATAATATCAAGAAAAGCCATGACTCTAAATTAACAGAAAGGTAAGGTAAATTCATTACAGTAGTAGTCAACATGAGCAGCCTCCTGCCTGGGCTGAAACGTCAACCAGCTACTTCTCAGTTGTCTTCGAGATACTGGGCACTCAACATTTAATCCAGACAAACACTTAGAAGAGCACCACTTGAAGAAAGAAGTAGGGATGCAAATGTTATGATCATCTTGCTCATGAATCCTTCAGAAAAGCATTCCTGAAGGGCTAGATGTCCCTTCAAGAGCAAAAGGAAAGGAAAAATCAATACCAGTCATATCTGCATGGAGCCAAATACTTTCTCTAAATAGGTAGGACAGTCAAATCTAATCTTTCATCTCCAGCAACTCATATATGTTAGGCTTCTCTGAAAGATCTCTCCTGCCAACATCCTTGTTAATTATAGAACTTAGTGATTTATAAATAAAATAAAATAATCTATAGCTCCCACATGAGCTTTCAGAGAATCCAGGTATTCACAGCCTGGATATGTAACATTTTCCTCTCATCTTTGTTCAGAACATCTCTGTCCAAAGAATAGTTTTCCTAAAATATTAATAGCAGTTTAATAATAAAAGGCTCTAAATTTTTAATTCCACGAGGCCAACATGGTTATTAATATCCAATCAACATTTCTTCTTTTCTTTTGTTCAACTTAGTTCAACAGCACAGGAAATCTCCAAAAATGTATTGTTGAAGGCTTTCATGGCCGGAATCACTGGGTTATTGTGAGTTTTCTGGGCTGTATGGCCATGTTCCAGAAGCATTCTTTCCTGATGTTTTGCCTGCATCTATGGCAGGCATCCTCAGAGGTTGTGAGGTCTGTTGGAAACTAGGCAAGTGGGGATTATATATCTGTGGAAAGTCCAGGGTGGGAGAAAGAACTCTTATTTGTTTGAGGTAGGTGTGAATGTTTCAATTGGCTACCTGGATTAGCATTTAATGGCCTAGCAGTTTCAAGGTCTGGCTTCTTACTGCCTGAGGGAATCCTTTGTTTAAAAATATTGTGGGGGGAGGGAAGTGAAAAAAACTGACGTGCAGTGGGGACTGGTGGACGCTGACAGCAACAAAGGATAGTCGCTGATCTTTCTTTTGCAAAATATTTTTGCCTTCCACTGTGAATGTTCATCAAAACAAGAACTACCTTGCTTTCTTTGAATGACAGTGCTTCCTAAGTATTTATCAAGGAAACAGCATTAGAAAGGTGCAAACAAAATAGATGTTTATTAAATTCAACAACTCTGAATCATGTATTGTCAAAGAAGACTTGGCCTAGAACAGCCAGTTTTGAGCTGAAGGGTTGAGTGGGGCAGCTCAGAAGTGGAGTTCTCCTTTTTTCTTTCTGTTTTGAGGATATTTGTTCCTTGCAGTTTTCTGAGGAAGTATCAGTAGAATCTTTTTGCCTCCCCTTTTCCCATTGATCTGAAGTTCTTGGAAAATTGAACTTCTTGCTTCTTTTGAAAGAATAGAACTCCTGCATTAAATCTTCCACCTCCCATTGCTCCTCCTTTTGTTTCCTGCAACAGTGCAGGGCGGCAGGATCTATTGGGTGGGCTTCAGTGTTGAAAATGTATCCACCGGCGCCAAGAATACACTCCCCATAGGGAGTCAGCATGACGTCAAAAGATGACCCATTGTTATGAATGAAGTTCTCAGGGTCAAACAGGAGATACAGGTATTTTACTGTTTCTGCCAAGAAGAAGGACTCCATGCGGTTATCTAGTCTGTGATCTCGCAGGTCTTTGATCTTTTAAAAAAGAAAGGAAAGGAAGGAGTGGTTACACTGCATGCCAAAGTTAGACTGTTAACAATTGCAGAAATAACCTGTCAGTTGTATTGGAGGATCACATCGAAGCAAGAACCAGGGGACTGGTTCTGGTGCAATTCTGCCGATTTGGTCAATTGGAAGGCTGCATAAAGGTTTTTGGAGGCCCTAGGCCAGAGCTTTCCAAACTGTGTGTCACAACACCTTAGTGTGTTGCCTGCAGTGCATAGGTATGTTACACAAATGTAATGAGAAACCTCTGAGTTTATGAGAAATAAGCATATAATATATTTTTTAAAAATATAAATGGAAAATTTTCATAATATATACTATCTCATACATTTCATTATTACAATTTATGTATGTGTTCATATCTCCTATAATGGGTTGGTTTAACCTCTGGTTTGACAAAAAACCCCGAATTACTGTCACAAAATGATGCATGTTTAAAAAATGTGTCATCAACATGAAATGCTCTGGTGTAATCAAACCTATATAATCTGCTGAGCAGGACTGGTCTTAGAATTAAATAGAAAGAAGCAATCATATCAAACAGTGAATAGTAAGTCTCCTTGCCACTCTTATCTGTGAGAAGATGGAGTGTCACAAAACCGGATTCAATCATAGGAGGAGGTGTCATGTTTTTTGCCCCAGGTGGCAAAATGTCTTTGGCTTTTTTCTTTTTCTGCTGGTGACAAAGCTTGAGAAAGCCAACTCACTACTAGAAAGTTCAAGAGAAACACTTAACTGTTGCAAAGCCACATTCAACCTTGCAGATTTTTTCTATTGCCTCTACAACATCTCTGCCCAGCTCCAAAAGGGTGGGATCTCCCGTAGCACGATAGAGATACATGGCACTCTCTATTAGTTCTGTAAAATCCAAAACAAAGGAAAATATACTTAGCTGTCTTTTTTCTTTTGCATAGTTATGTATGCAACACATAGAATGTACCTGATTAGTCTTTCAAAACTCAGGATACAAGAGATTCTAGAAGAGAGGTCTCCTGCTGCCTGACATAAAATACAAAGGTACAGGTTTCTGTCTTACACTGTCAATGCCATCATCTTCTAGTATACCAATCTTAAGTGTTGAATTAATTACAGTTTGTGTAAAATCTAATCTGAGTTAACACTAAAGAAAAATACTATTCAAGATCTATTCAACCATTTAGCCATGTGAGATTTCCTCACCCTGCAATTAGCAAGGGAGTTTCAAGAAATGTGAAACAGAAGTAGATTGTATTGTCGAAGGCTTTCATGGCCGGAATCACTGGGTTGTTGTAGGTTTTTCCGGGCTATATGGCCATGTTCTAGAGGAATTCCTCTAGAACATGGCCATATAGCCCGGAAAAACCTACAACAACCCAGAAGTAGATTGGTCTAACACCATAGAGAAGAATCATGCACCTCCCAGCTGTTTTTGCAACTATAAGGACACCCCCCGCCAAACAAAAACACCCCCAACAAAACCACAAGGAGCATTCAACATCCTGAGCCCTTTCAGACTATATTTTTATAGTATTATTTAGGCTTGGTTGACCCCCCCAAAAAAAAAAGATTCAAAACTTGTTTTGGATGTAGGGGGCACTGGTGGTTCAGTTCTAAAGTCACTTACGAATTTGAAACTTTCCAAAACTTCCAAATTGATTTGTTAATACGGACATGCATGCGCAATAGAGAAAAATAGCACTGGCACTGGGGAAATTTCAGGGGATTCTCCCTCCCTCAGTTTTAGACCAATCCTGATGAAGCTTGCTACAGTGGTAGAACATATGGACCACTGTTAGCTCACCAAATTTCATAACCTTTGACTTATCCATGGATTTTTGGAAAATTCTCAAAGTTTTTATAAAAAAACATTTTAATAATAAAGAAAACCTGTTCCTGGTTTGAAAGTTATTTCCTGTTTCATTTGGTGGTCTTTACTTTGAAAGTAGCTGTTCTACTCCAGAAACTTTGTTTGTGTGGCACAAACTGTGTTAAATTGGTGGAGAACAGAAATCATAGTACAGACCCTGGCTGGCTACCCCATGGCAATCAGGCCAAAGTAAAATGATTGGTTTTTAAGCAGTTTATGTTCTCTTGGCTTTGCATAAGTTGCTTATTGCCTTGCTGTCTTCTTTAGACTCCTTTGTAGATTCAATCACTTTATTTTATATTTAGGCGAAGACTACTACAGACAGCTATTTTTGGGTCCTTCAGCCATTTTGGCTAATAAGCAGGCGTGCATTGTGGGAAATGTAGTTTAACAGAAGGGCCTTTTGTAATCCATTGGGGGCCTGGCCTTCACAAACTACAGTTATGATGGCTGTGATTAGCCATGCCTTTCTTGCAGCACTGGCAGAAAGAATGAGATTTTAAAAATTCCCTTGCCTTTACCAAAGTTGCTTAATGGTTGTAAAAATTAAAATAACCTTGAGAGATATCTGAACATTCTATAATGTTCAGATATCTCTCAAGGTTATTTTAATTTTTAAAATAATATTTTTTTTAAAAAAAAGGGGGGGGGATTTTGTTCAAATCCCCCCCCCCCTTTCCTGCATGGTTCAAAAATGCTCCGGATGTCCAAATTCGTATGTTTTTTCCCCAAATTTCAATCATTTCCAAGTGAAACTATCCAACCCTAGTATCATTATTCTAGATTAACCCCTACAATTCCACCATACTATGTTACTACTACGATTCTACTTTAACCATCATAATTCCATCCTGGGATCTACAGTTTAGGGAAGGGAATTTAGCATTCTTAATCCGGGAATTTTAATGCCTCCATAAACTACCATGGCTCAGAAATCCACAGGATGCAACTATGGTAGTTAAAATAGAATCACAATGCTAGAATCAAGGAGTGTGAAAGGGGCTCTTGTTTCAGCAGAAAATCCATCCTCCTAATATCTTTTTAATTTGCAAATTGGAAATGACTTCCTTATCACTCCTGACTTTATATGGAAAGGCTAGTGTGGCTGCCAGAGACTGCTGGACCTGTAATAATGGTCCTTGAATCTCTGGAGCCTGTCTAAAGGACTGTGTCTAAAACCATGTCAAACTATTAGACAGAAGGTTAGAAACCTATTACAAAGATGGTTGTTTATAGACTTACCAGGTCTCAGTGGGTATCCTTCACGCTTTTCTACTGTATAACCCTGAGGGATATTGTAGAACTCAGGCAGCCCACCAAACTGCTTCCAAACGGTGTAATAATTGAGCAATGTCCGCATCGCACTATCTATGTCTCCAATAAGGCTCTGTGGGATGGGGAAGGGAACCAATGAGGTAATAAGGAATTGACCACACCAAACTTCACATCAAATTTTCTCTTCTAAGTGACAGGAGAACAAAGAATTATAACAGGATAGGATGGCTTTAGATTTTCATTTCAATAACTATTTCTTTTAAAGAAATCAATCCTTTCATTTCAATACAAGAATAACTTTCCCAGATGTTCAATGGGAGTAGCAGCTCACACAGTCAATATTTATTTATTTCCCTGAGTCCCCGATGGGGACTATGAGCAGCTTATAGATTGGCCAGCAAGATTTGCTTCCTAGATTTTGTATTTGTACAACCATTCTTGACAAACTGCCTTTGACAACACTAACTTTCCTCCAATAATAATAATAATAATAATAATAATAATAATAATAATAATAATAATAATAATAATAATAATATACTTATAACCTGCCCTATCTCCCCAAGGGGACTCAGGGTGGTTTCCAACAAAAATAACAAAGTGGCAAACATTCACTGCTGAAGACAAACAAGTGACAAATCAAAACAGTGATAAGGTAATCTCAATATAAAATTATAAAACTGAAAAACTTAAACAAACATAACACATTAGACTAAAAGGCATTAAAGCTAAAATGGTTTCCAGCATCCAACAGGTGGAATAGGTGTCAAATATCCAGGTGTAGATATAGAAAGTTGTACTAGTCCTCCTCCTCTATACCAATATCTTCTTTAAGCCTTTTATTTATGGGGAGGGTGAAGGAAACATCTGGCTTATGGAAGCCCCACACCTTGAAGTGAGGGAAATGCCTCGCTGTGCCTAAGAAGATAAGAGATGCACAGGATAAACTTGCTTCTTGGCTAGAGGTAAGAAAAATATTCTCAGAGCCTCCCTGTGGACAGTCCAGGAGAGGTGGAACCAGACTGTGTAAGATGAATAGGTTTGGTGGGTCAACCTGCTCCAGCTCACAATACAGCATTATCTAATAGAGGCTGAATATTGGATCCACATTGTACTCACTGGACGTTCTATTTTGTCCAGTGCCTATTTTGATTTTCTACAGTACTGATCCCCAATTGAAACACTATGATCAAAGAGTAGTCCTTACCTGTAATCCAGGCCAGTAGGCTTCCAGGGACTGAAAAACTGGCATTGAGACAGTCCCTTTGTACATTTGAACCCAGAGGTACCAATCATCAAATTTCGTATAATTCTTTAAAGCTTTGTTATAGTCTATAGAAAAAAACAAGCCAAAGCCAGTAAAACAGATCTGATGAGAAACATAACAATTTAGAGCAAAGTATAATGCCTCCCACCTGCAAATACTTCAAGGGGTCATCCTTTTGGAAAACGTATCAACCAAATCTCTATTATGCTTGAACAAATCATGAGGGCAACATGAAGATAACAATTTTAAAGGCATGAAATTTGTCTGCAACACAGGGAAAAATGCAAAAGTCTCATTAAAGCTGATGGATAGGCAAGCAAGAATGGGCTGTCAGTGACTACTTGCCTCACAGAAATGTTTCTTAGCAAAACCAGATCCATGATTTCTTGCAAAAGGCTGGGACACATAAGACTTCTTACCCCCTATATATGTGTGTTGGCATCAACTATTCAAAATGCCTATATGGTTGTGAATTTAAGGAGAAAGACGACTGAGAAGCAAACAACAATAAAAGTTATGGACTGCAAGGCACATTTCTAGTTCTCAGGCACTAAATCCAAGAAATCATAGGAGAATGAAGAGTGAGCTCTCATGCTGATCCAAAGATGTTTTAAATGCAGCCCTATAAGTAGGTTCCTACATCCATTCACATCATACTTAGTAAGTTTCTTAGATAAGAATTTATGTGCGTCTCACCTAAAAACATGGACATGAGTTCTTCATCTTGTAATAAGATGGCTCCTTTAACAAGATATTCAAAATAAGAATCTACTCCTGCTCCAATCCCAGCATCTTGGGCTACCCATTTGGCAGTTACTACATCAACATGATTTCCCACCTGGAAAAAAAATCATGCCTTTAAGACTCATTTGTAACTAGTATAAATGTACATTTCTATAACCATATCAAACAGATTCCAATTAGCTTATTTATAAGAGATGTGTACAACTGGGGGATGTAAATAAGTGCAACATTAAGTTATGGCCACAAAAAACCTTTAACGTCAATAGCTGAACATCTTGTGTAACTGTCTTACACTTCGGGTATAAATTTTGTGCCGTACACACCATTAAGGTTTGTATCTTCACTAAAAAAAGGAAAGATTTTTGTAAGCATGGGGCCAGTTATCCCTAAGGCAGAAAATTAATGGTTCCTAAACGCAAACACAAAGACATCTAATATCTGCCTATCCAGACATTTTATGTTGGTTTACTACTCCTGCCTGAAGTTTTATGATTTTGCTACCTTGCAGTTATATTACATGAAGGAATGTATTTTGTCCTTCATATTGTGTTTTATAGTGGCACACTGTCCAGAAATCTTGTAAAATAAAAAAGAATTACATTTTTTAAAAAACGAAATAAATCTCAGTGAGTGCATTTTACCCGTATTCTGTCCCACAGGTACAATTTTCAATAGAGACTGAACTATAAAATGATAACTAAACATGTGAACTCAACAAGCTACCAGGGTATAGAAGACAGAGGACAACTATGATAGTGCTGCGGTTAATGATGCAACTAGACTCAAGTTGAAAAGATGTTTAAGCTGTTGATGTTTTTTTTTTTTTTGCAATTAAAGTCACAAGTTGCACAACATGTATTACAGGAACATGGAGTGTGAGAAACATGAACTGGGGAAGCTAGACATAGCAAATAAGAAATGGAGAATATAAACATTGCAGTACATTGGGGGAGCAAGCTATTATGAATAAGAATGGGACATTTTGAGTCAGAAAATTACAGTGTTTTAGTCTGGAAGTTAAAGGCTTAGAAGAAAATAGGGCAGCATTAATCATGATGAGAGATGTAGCCAAAGCACTCAAAAGATATAATACAAAATTAGACTGAATAATATCACTAGGTCCTCAGGGAAACTCCATCGATATAACTGTAATCCAAGTTTATGCTCCAGCTACAGAGGCAGAAGAAGAAGAAACCAAAAGTTAAGTGATGTAATACAGGAGGAAATTGATCACGCAGCAAAACAGAATTTATTGCTAATAGGCCACTGGAATGCAAAAGGGAGGAGATACGGCAAAAAACAAAGATATATGAAAATTTGGCCTAGGATCAAGATATGAAGCAGGAGACTGACAGAAGAAATTCTATGAGGCCAACAGTTTGTTCACTGCAAATACACTCTTCAAGTAACTAGAAAGGCTACTGTATATAGGAACCCAGGGACATTTTCAGGGAGGAAGACAAAAGGACACTGGAGAGAAAACAAAAGAGAAGTCTCCATGGATCATATAGGAAACTATTCAAGCAATAAAGAATAGATAAGAAGCAAAAGTAAAAGGTGGCAGAAACAAAACCAGAACCCTGAATGCAACTGTTCAGGTGCTTGTACACAGGGAGAAGGAGAACTACTATAATAATCAATTCAGAGAAATAGAACATGCCAACAGAAAGGAAGGACAAGAGACCTCTTCTACAAGATCTGAGAAAACAAAGGGAAATTTAAATCAAGAGTGGGGATGCTCTGCAATCAGCAAAGGGTTATATTACATAACTGAGTAGAATTTTAAAAAAATGAAAATACACCGAAGAACTATATAAAAGAGACAGAAGAATGATAGATTCATTCAATGACTTGCCACCTAAAGAGCACCCACAATTTTAGAAAGTGAAGAACTAAATCGTCAAGAACAGATGGCATATGAAAAGAGTTGCTTGAAGCTGCAAAGACCCAGACTACTCTAGTTCTAAATAAAACCTGTCAATAAATACAGAAAAAATAACCCACTCAATATATATTCAAGTTCCCAAGAAAGTGGACATTAAGGACTGCAGCACCCACAGGACCACTGCATTATTTTCCCATGGAAACAAAGTGATGCTCAAAATTATATAGCAAAAATGTTTATCATATATGGAATATGAAATGCCAGATGTCCAAGTTGGGTTCAGGAAAAGAAGAGGCAGTAGGGATCATACTGTGAGCATACAATGCCTAATGGAGCACACCAAAGGATTTCAGGGGGGAAAATACTTTATGGAGTATAGCAAAACTATGGATGAAAGTAATGGGTGTGCTACAAGATTTGATTGTCCTGATGCATAACCTGTACTCAGGACAAGAGGTTACTGCCAGGATAAAATGTGGAGAAATTGAACGTTTTCCAACTGGCAAGGAGTCAGGCAAGACTGCATTTTATCACCCTATTTAAGTTATAAGTTCAACATAATACCAGATGTAAAGCAGAATTAGACTTAGAGGAAAAAGGCAGGAAAACTGGATATGCAGTTTAAGATATACAATTTAAGATATGCAGATGATACTATACTATTAGCAGAAAATCGCAAAGACATAAACATTACTAAAAGAAGCAAAGCAAGAAAGTGCAAAGACAAGTTTAGAACTGAACATTAAGAAAACAAAAATAATGACTATTTACATTACTTGAAAGCAGTCAATGAAGACACTCAAATATTGCAAGATTGTCCATATTTTGGCTCAGTCAGTGAAGGAATCAGAGGACTAAAAGGTGGAAGGGCATCTATGAAGGAACTAAAGAATCCTGAGGTCTAAAGATATATAACTGAATACTAAAGTTAGGATTTTCCATGCCATTATATTTCCAATTTCTATGTAATGGTTGAGAAAGCTGCACAATGAAGAAAACTGAGAGGAAGTAAAGAAATGTGTTTCTGGAAAAGACTTCTATAGATATCGCAGACTGCGAAAAGCCAAGTAAATAGGTCCTAGAGCAAATCAAGCCAAAATAACCAATCTAAGACTGCTGTAGTTTGAACATACCATGAGAAGACACTAGAAAGGACAATAATGTGTGGTAAGATAGAAGGCAGCAGGTAAAGTGGAAGACTGTATTACAGATGGATAAGCTCAAGGAAGTCATGGATTGAATCTGCCAGATCTGAGCAGAGATGTTGCTGAAAGGGTGGCCTGAAGGTCTCTCATTCATGGGGTCACCATAAGTCAAAGTCAACTTGATGACAATTAATAACAACAAGCATGACAGGAGCTTTTCCACTCACCAGGCCGATGTCTGACCGATTTTTCCAAAGGGTCTTAAGAGCCTTTCTGGCAACATCTTCAAATACTGGGTCACCTGTGAGATGACTTAGTGTAGCAAATTCCAGTATAAATGTACCAATACCAGCAGTACAAGTAATTGGTGTCTCTCCAGGGTTTACTCCATGTAGTAAATTCACTGTCCCATAGGGCATTCCGGTTGGTGTCTGGAAGGCTTCAAAAGAAAGATATATAATAGGGGTGGGCAAATGAAAATGATGATCCTTGGGCTGCATGCAGCCCCTGAGGCTGGTTTTGTGTCCCTCAAATTATTCTATTTTTAGTGTATCAGTTTGCTTTTTCAATAGGTATCACTAAGGCCATCTTCACATCCTATGGGAGAATTATTGGGTGATAACTGTTCTGCTATTAAGTGGTTTAAAATTAAAACATAAACTCTGGTTCTATATATATGAACTACTATTAAAACAGTGTGTATTTCATACATTCACAGGTTTGGCACATAACACAGCAAATTGTTTTCTGGCACAAAAAAAAAAGACATCTTGAGAATCTCAACCTTCAAACTAATTAAAATGAGGATGTTTCTTGCCTTCCTGATTGCACAGAAGTTCTTGAAATTGCAGAACAGACCAATAAAGGCTCAAAACCACTGCTTTGTGAATTTATCAGAGCTGTATATTATAGATATGCATTTTAACTTGATGTATTTCAATGCTTTCATGTTGACTCTTCTTTAATAATATAAAGATGCACCTAATAAACAATGTCACAATAATTTCTGCATTTTTTGGATAATGGGTACTCTGCTTTTTCCCAAAACAACAGTGACACAACCTATAATAGTCAATAAATTATTTCTATATATTCTTTTAGTGCCAGTTCCTTATTTAAGAATTCCAGGTCCATTGCCTCTTTATTAGAAAGGATGCAGCATAGGTTCTAAATGTCCAATATTTCACTATTAACTGGGCACATAAATATTTAGTGCTCTCATTGGCATGAATGGAAAAAAATTATTGGATTATAGTTTTCAGAATTTCCAGCCTTGTTAGCCAGCTGCATATGGTTGGAAGATGCTGGAAATTATAGTCCAAAACAGCATATAGGCAGTCCCCAGGTTATTAACAAGATGGGTTCTGTAGGTTTGTTCTTAAGTTGAATTTGTTTGTAAGTCAGAACAGGCAATTTTTTAAAGTTTAACTTTAGCCAAAATATGCATTTTTTAGTTTTGGAAATTATAGGGAAGGGTTAACACCCCTGTGGTATTTGTTTTGCCCCTGTTCAGAACACTTCACCTCACTTTCTGTCCCTGTGATAATTGGATTTTGAAAAATTTGGCTTGTTGTGAAAATAAGGACTGGTGAGAAAGCTTCAGTGGAGACCCCTTTCCCCCCATGATGACTCTTCCAGGAGCAAATTTCCTTTTTTAGGGGTAGATTTCTCTCCCTTCCTGTTATGTCATCTCCGTTCTTAACTATGAGTCATTTGTAAGTCAGATGTTTGTAACTCGGGCATTGTCTCTATTGTAAAATTATTGTGTGTGTGTTTTTTAAAGGAAGCTAATGGGGCAAAAGGGGACAATTGTGGTTTAGCAGCCTGAGCTCCTCTTGCTGGAAGTAAAATGATTCGCATTGTGGTCAGGGGGAAATTAAACAGTTTAAAGTGACTCTCCCAGCAAGTCCAAATGATTTATCACAGTCCCTAAACTCACTGCTAAAACATTTTTGGATTATCACATCAACTGAATAAACTTCAAAAATGGTTTTTAAGCACTTTCAGCTGCCTAAAAACAGAAACCTCTGTTTTTTGCCTTCGACAACACAGAGATCCCTGTTTTTTTGAAAAGCACTCCTTCAGCATGGGTTGAAAGAGTGATATGAAGTGGGAATATAGCATAATGTTGTGGAATCATAAGAGATTCCGTTCATGGCTGGGGAGCTTCAAACCTATGCTACCAGCCAAGTGCGATAATGTCTTTAATGGCCCAGTAGGGCTAGCTTTTCCTGCCAGTTCTTTATTTTTAGATATATTTCACCTTTTGCTTCTTGTTTCCTATTAAATCATGCAACCAACTGACACAACTTTCATACTTGGAAACAAGTGAAGGTAAGGACATTTTGCATATATATATCTATCTCACACATCAAGAGCAGTGTCTTTTTTGTTCTTGGTTAAATTATATACTGCATTTGTTGTTGGGTGTTTTCAAGCTGTTTCTGACTTAAGGTGACCCTGAAGCAAACATATCACTTTTTTTGGGACAGAGAATAGATTTGTTTAGAGGACTGTTACTTTCTTCTAAGGCTGGGAGTTTATGACTTGCCTAATGTCAGCCAGTACATTTTCATAGCAGAATTCGAACTTTGGTCTCCAGACTCACAGTCCAATGCTCAAAGTAGTACACCATGGTGGTTCTCTTATACACGCCATTCGTTGATATCAGTTCATCTCTAGATGCACACGAAAGCCATGATCTTACTCAATACACTGCCATTCTTTTAACTATTTTTTGTTTCTTTTGTATACACTTTTACAAATGGTAGACTCTGAAGTCCACATTAATTTCTTCATTTAGAATAATTCTAGCCATGATATACACTTCCTCTGTTTATGATTCCATTAATACACCATCAAGAAATTAAGCCAGTCAAAATTGAAGTACTACAGAAGGCAGGGGGAGATTAATTCTCAGTCTTTTTAAGAACAGTCACCTGGTAAAAGTTTTCGGGCTGCGTCCTCTGCCATCCTCAACAGGGGCCCAGAGCATGGCCATCCTGCTTCCACTTCAACACCAGCTTTCTTAGATAACAAATGAGCAGACAGGAGACCACCAACCACTGCAAGAGGCAGACAACACTAACTTAGAATCACAGTAAGACTGTCAAGTGTGCAAACATGACCGATCACTTTCTTTTCAGAGCCAGTCATTCTATTTAGCTTCTCCAGAGATACAAAATAAATTTCCAATGTTGCCCTTAGTCACTGTAAGAAATATATTATTTAAGCCATTAAAGATTTAATTAAAGCAGCAGTCTTCCTTAACCTAGTACGGTCATCCCTAATGATTGGCCATCTTGGCATGCAAACTAAGCCACTATGATGGAGAAAGAAGAACCAGTGGCTTAACAATAAATTCCAGAAAACTCTCAAACCAAAGAACAACATATCACATAATCCCAAGAACGCAAGGGCAGCTCTGTTGGATCTGACCTATAGTTCATCTACTGCCAGCTCCGTGTTTCTGCCAGCTAGAAGCATTCAGGGAGCATATAAGCTGGGCATGAAGACAAGAAGTTTCATCCTTGCATATGGTATTGAGGTGTATTACAGCTCAGCAAGGAAATTCCATTAGCTTTATTTATACAGAGGCTCTAATTCTGTAGTTACAACAGAAGGATTTTCCATGTTATCCCCCTCACATAATAGAATAACAAGCTCTTCTCCTCTTTAAGGAATTCTATTATTTATGACTATCATTCACTAACACTGCAGTCCTATCAAGGCTTCTGTCTTCATATAGCACGAAGACTCTGCCTGAAATCCAACTAGACAAACCAGTGACAATTAGGAGGTGGAAATGCTGGTTTCATAACTCTAATTCTCAGTCAGCACTAGCTGTAGCAGAAACTGATCCCGGATGTGTTTGCCAGGGAAAATAGAGGAGCACACCAAGACCTCATTGGAACAAGGAGAGGTATGCTTATGAGTTATATACAGGGATGATCTCTTTAAAAGACAGGCTTATATGGCAATAGCAATTCCTTCCTTCTTGAATGTGAGTGTAGTTTTGTTTAATATCCAGTTAGAACTAGATGGGACAGACTGGTCCGCTTTGTACAGTGAATCCAGTTTGTCTTGTTCTTTCTGACAGATTTGTTTATGGCTCTGGCCACTGTAAAGTTATGGCTTCCCTCTTATGTTTCTCTAAATTTCAAGAAGAACAGAAATGCCTCAGATAGCAAAATATAGTTGGTTTAAGGCAAAACATGGTTGTAACTGCATCCTGCAAAGCAAGGAAATTCATGTCATAGATGTAGCCCCCAAAATACATGTATGAGGAACATGTAGCCTTTTAGGTATTGATGATATTAGATATTTCTGTTACCACTCATTATCAACCAGGCCAGTGGTTCTCAACTGAGTCCCCAGGTGTTTTGGCCTACAACTCCAAAAAAATACAGCTAGTTTACCAGCTGTTAGGATTTCTGGGAGTTGAAGGCCAAAACATCTAGGGACCCACAGGTTGAGAATTACTGATCTAGGCTATGACAAATAGAAGGGTTTAAGCCAATGTTCCCCACCTCCATTTTAAAGAGTTAGACTCACCTCTGATATTGGTTTCAAAGACAGAAGCATTTACATCGATATCGAAGTTCACGCCTTCTTGCAGCACACTGACAACTCTCTGGAACTCAGATATGTTACCCAAAATCTAGACATAAAATTTTAAAAACTGAATTCACAACTGATTGTTTATAATACAGCATATATCTACAATAAGACAAAAGATCCATTCTAAAATACAACCCCCCTCAAAAAAACCCAAATGACAAAGATGCTAACCTACATACTTGCTTGAATTGGAAACTATTTTCCCTGCCTGAAAATGCACTAATAATAATAATAATAATAATAATATATTTCTAGACCACCCTCTCTCCCCAGAAGGACTCGGGGAAACTTACACATAAAAAGGTAAACATTCAATGCCTTGAAATAGGTACAGACACGGCAAAATAATACAAAATAATGGAGAGTAGCAAATGAAAAGTACCAAAATGTTAAGGAGATGATTATACTTCTAATTCTAATGCAGAACATGTTCAAAAACATAACATAGAAATTTTGCATAATCTCTCAACAAATGGAGAAACTGAAATGGCAAGGATGAGAAACAGAACTCATTCTTTATCTGCAAAGGGCATACTTGACAAATAGGCAACACACAAGAAATTTAAGAAAAAAGAAGCTGATACTGAAAGTATGGTGCTTACTTACTAACAGGGTATCCAGTGCATCGATCAGTGTAAGAGAAAAACTGAAAAAGAACAAATGACAATAAAGCAGTGTCTTGTGGAGGGAAAGGTTACATCAACAACAGTGGCATGGATAAATGCACACTCTGACACTGAACCCAAGGGCTTCCTGCTTCTAGGACATTAGGAACAAAGTTGATGAGTTATATGCATCAGAGCAACTTGAGAAATGGCAAGTCGCTTCTGGTTTGAGAGAATTGGCCATCTGCAAGGAGGTTGCCCAGGGACGCGCAGATGTTTTACCAACCATCGGGAGGCTTCTCTCAGGTCACTGCATGAGAAGCTGGAGCTGACAGAAGGAAGCTCATCTCGCTCCCCGAATTCAAACTGCTGACCTTTCGGTCCTTAGTCCTGCCAACACAAGGGTTTAACCCATTGTGCCATCGGGGGCTCCAGCTGAGTTCTCTGATGCCCAAAGAGTCCCCAGCTCACCACGGCCAGAAACCCAATGGGAGGAAAGAAGAGGGCAAAGCAGGTGGGAGACGTTTCTAACACAATGCCCTACAAAAAGGAGGCATTCCAGATGCTCCCTGGGCTGTCAGTATACTTTCCACTCTTTAAGGAAAAAAGCGGGAAGGAAGAGAAAATCCCCCACCAATGATTCATATTCATTTACTCTGGGTTGGGTACAAGTTGCAGTTAACGAGGTTGCTCACTGACTGGGAGGAAGGCTAATGTGTCTGGAAGAGAGCAGGTAGTTTTGGGTTTTGGAATATTTTAGATTTATTGATAAGGGAAAATTAACCTGTGTTGTCAGGTTTGTATAGACTGATTTATTTTCTCTCAACTATTTTATGTTGGCAACAAGCTCAATGTGTTGTACCAGATTACAAAGTTCTATAAGAAAAGTGTAATCTGGTACAACACAGTTCTATAAGAAAAGGGTAATGGCTTAAAATTCTGTGAGCAAAGAGAGTAAGAGCGAGTACCTTCCCCAAGTGTCCTGCCCGTCACATGTCAATGGACGCAGTTCATCATACGGGAAGGCATTTTCTAGGTAGTTATCATAAGCATGATAAAACATGGACTTGACTCGTTCTCTAAAGGGGAAAAAGAGGATTATGTCAGAAGCACTGCTGAAAAGCAATTTGTGTAAAACAAATGAGGTCCTCTGAAGTCACTGTGAGAAGGTCCTCCATTGTGCATGTGGCAAGGCTCAGGCCGCATTGTAGTAGCTGGTCTGTGGTTTGCTCAGAAGCAACTTGCAGCATGCAACCAAACAAAAAATAGTTAAATTAGGTGACTTAAACCTAGTTTTCAAGCAGCACCCATGCAACAGATTTAATTTTGAACGGACATTCCTCACAGCAGCACAACTGCAGCATTTTTGTATGTTTTTAAGATGCGGAATTGCTGAGTGTCATCTTGGGATGAGGCCTATCTCAAGATCCTCTGGAGAGTAATTCCCAAGGCTCCACTGCTGTGGCATCTGTCTATTGAAAACCTCTGCTTTTTTATTACCCCCAGAAGCATAAAGCATAATAACCATAATTTCATTTCATCCTCACTGAGAGCCTAGACCAGGCATGGGCAAACTTGGCCCCTCCGGGTGTTTTGGACTTCAACTCCCACAATTCCTAACAACCGGCTGTTAGGAATTGTGGGAGTTGAAGTCCAAAACACCCAGAGGGCCCAAGTTTGCCCATGCCTGGTATATGCAAGTCAATGAATTCTCCTGTCAACAAACATTTGATCGATCTTCTGTCTGCAGCCTCCCATTTCCTTCTGGGAGAAGGACTACTGGTGCCATCTCCCTCCTCTCCTGGCCATGGGTGCATCTACACTGCAGATTTAATGCAGTTTGACACCACTTTAGCTGCCCTGGCTCAATGCTATGGAATCCTGGGAGCTGTCTCAAGACCTTGGGAAACTACAGCTCCCAGGATACGACAGCACTGAGCCAGGGCAGTTCAAGGGCTGTCAAACCGCATTCGTCTTACAGTGTAGACGCCCACACCCAGCTCACCTGTAGTGGGCGACGTCGACGGCCTTCCCCGTGGCCAGGGGCAGGTGCAGCACCCACAGCCAGACCCAGCCCAGCGGGTGGAGTGAGCGCCGCATCTAAAAGGCGCCGCCGAGGAGGAAGCTTCCACGGCCGCCCAGCCATGCACCCACCGGGAGCTTCTCTTCCGGGTTTCGCCCCCTTCGCAATCCACGCTCCAATCAGGGCCGCCGGCACCGCCCCCGCCCACCAGAGGGCTGACGCGAAGCGCGCGGATTGGTGCGGCGCTCTCGACCCGCTCCAATGCGATTGCGCACAGCTATGGGCGGGGCCTCAAAAGTTGTGGGCAGGGCTTCCATTGCTTGGCCAGTGCAAGTCGGCGCTTTGGCATGGGTCTGCCGCTAGAGGGCGCTGCGACTCCAGGTGTGCAACTACACCATGGCATTAGTCCAGTTTGACACCAGTCATGGCTCAGCTACAGTTTTATATGGTCTTTAGCCTTCTCTACAAAGAGTATTGGTTCCTCACCAAACTACAACTCCCAGGATTCCACAGCACCGAACCATGGCAACTAAAGTGGGGTCAAACTGTATTTATTCCATTGTGTAGATCAGGAGTCCTCAAACTAAGGCCCTGGGGCCGCATACGGCCCTCCAGAGTAATTTACCTGGCCCTTGCTCAGGGAAAAGCACACAACAACAACAATTCTATCTCATCAGCCAAAAGCAAGCCCGCCCTCCCCATTGAAATAATAATAACTTTATATTTGTTAAAATTGTTCTTCATTTGAATTATTGTTTTGTTTTAAAGTGTTTTTTGCACTACAAATAAGATATATGCAGTGTGCATAGGAATTCATTCATTTTGTTTTTTTTTTGGGGTTTTTTGCAATTATAATCCGGCCCCTCCAACCAGTTTGAGGGACTGTGACCTGGCCCTCTGTTTAAAAAGTTTGAGGACCCTGGTGTAGATGATGACGATAATAATAATAATAATAATAATAATAATAATTGCGCGGTTTTCTGGCATTGTATATTTTTTCCAAGAGCAAGCCATCACAACCAATGCAATTAAAGCCAGGATTGAAAAATCAGCGGATGACCCAAAATGCAGACTGTGCAAGGAAGCGTATGAAACATGGATCATATCCTCAGCTGTTGCAAGAAAATCGCACAGACAGACTACAAACAAAGACACAACTCTGTGGCACAAATGATTCACTGGAACTTATGTCACAAGTGCCATCTGCCAGCAGTAAAGAATTGGTGGGATCATAAACCTGCAAAGGTCGTGGAAAATGAATATGCAAAAATATTGTGGGACTTTCGAATCCAGACTGACAAAGTTTTGGAACACAATATACCAGACATCACAATTATGGAAAAGAAAAAAAAGTTTGTATTATCAATGTTGCCATACCGGGTGACAGTCACATTGAGGAAAAACAACAGGAAAAACTCAGCTGTTATCAGGACCTCAAAATCGAACTGCAAAGGCTCTGGCATAAACCAGTACAGGTGGTCCCAGTGGTCATGGGTGCCATGCCAAAAGATCTCAGCAGGCATTTGGAAACAATAAACATTGACAAAATCACGATCTGTCAACTGCAAAAGGCCACCTTACTTGGATCTGCGCACATCATTCGAAAATACATTACACAGTCTTGGGAAGTGTTCGACGTGATTTTGTGATATGAAATCCAGCATATAGATCTCGTTTGCTGTGACATACTGTGGTTTTGTGTCAGTATAATAATAATAATAATAATAATAATAATAATAACAACAATAAATTTTATTTATACCCTGCCACCATCTTCCCAAAGGGGAGTTGGGGCAGCTAACATGAGGCCATGCCCAAAAACAATACAACAAAATAAGATACAAAACAGCAGAAAATTAAACACAACAAAATACATAATGTAACAAAATAAAACAGACAGTGCAAAATAACATAATAAAATTAAACACAACAAAATACATAATGTAACAAAATAAAACAGACAGTGCAAAATAACATAATAAAATTAAACACAACAAAATACATAATGTAACAAAATAAAACAGACAGTGCAAAATAACATAATAAAATTAAACACAACAAAATACATAATGTAACAAAATAAAACAGACAGGACAAAATAACATAATACAATCAAACACAAGGGGGGGGGGGATGTGCAAGATAAAATGATAAAAATGTTAAAACCCTGGGTGAGATAGGAAATAGAAAAAGTGTATTTGTAAGGGAGGAGACCAAGAAGGAGGAGCAGTGGGGTTTGGTCTTCATTAAGGGTAGGGGAAAGTGCATCATGTGGACAACTGTAGATGAAAAACTAACAAAATGGGTTAGATGGTCACTCTCCGAAGGAAAAGCCAAGTTTTCAGATATTACTTAAAAGCTGCTAAGGTGAGGCTTGCCGAATCTCAACTGGTAGCAATCCCAACTGGTAGCAATCTCAAAGCTGGGGGCCACAGCGGAGAAGGCTCTCTTCCGCGTTCCCACAAGTCATGCCTGTGATAGGGGAAGGGGCAAAAAGGAAGGCTTCTCCAGAAGATCGAAGAGATTGTGTAGGTTTATGGTAGGAGATGCGGTCACAAAGATAGGCAGGTCCCAAACCGTTCAGGGCTTTATAGGTGATGACCTGCACCTTGAATTCGGACCAGAAAATGGATGGCAGCCAATGGAGCTCCTTAAACAGGGGGGTTGATTGTTCCCTGTAATTCACCCCAGTTAGTAGTCTGGCTGCCATACATTGGACCCAGGCCCGTAGCCAGGATTTCGATTCGGGGTGTGTGTGTGTGTGTGTGTTTCGGGGGGGGGGTGAGTCTGAGTGAAAGAGGGTCTACCCTAGCAAACCTTTTGTATCGTTACCCCAATACCCCCATGCATATGAGATATATTGAGCATAGTGATCAGATTATGATATGAATAAACATAACAGTTTAAATAATGTACCAGTAAGGCCTTTTCGCATACCACCATGAGAATTTGGGGGGAGGGGGCTGAAGCCTCCTCAAGCCCCCCCCCCCCCGGCTACATGCCTGGTTGGACCAGTTGGAGTTTCCGGGTCATCTTCAAGGGAAGCCCCACGTAGAGTGCATTTCAATAGTACAGTCTCGAGGTAACTAAGACGTGGACCACCATGGTCAAGTCAGACTTCACGAGATGCAAGCTAGGTGCAGAAGGTGACCATTGTAAATGGTTGGTTTGCCTGCTCCACCTTTCCTTTGAGATAGGCCTGCTTTAGCCTTCTCTACCAAAGAGTATCAGTTCCTCACCAAACTACAATTCCCAGGATTCCATAGGACTGAGCCATGGCAACTAAAGTGGGGCGAAACTGTATTTATTCCACTGTGTAGATACAAACTAGGTGCAGAAGGTGACCATTGTAAATGGTTGGGTTAGGAAGCATTTGCCTGCTCCAGCTTTTCTTTGAGAGAGGCCAGACCACAATTCCCATTATTCTCAGATACCCTGAGGCATTGTGGGAGTTGTAGTCAGTTGCGTTTGGAGGGAAATGAAATGCTGGTGCTGTTTACACCATCCTTCTGTGACCAGTGGTGTGTCTACACCAGGCATGGTCAAACATCATCCCTCCAGGTGTTTTTGACTTCAACTCCCACAATTCCTAACAGCCAGTTGAAATCCAAAACACCTGGAGGGCCGAAGTTTGACCATGCCTGGTCTACACTGTAAAATTAATACAATTTGACACCACTTTTTCTAACATGACTCAATACTATATAATTGTGGGAGGATTCACAAATGGAATTTTATAATGCAGTACTACTTAAACTGTGGGTCCTGTCCCCAAACAGGATACCTTTTAGCTCAATATTGAGTTCCCCCAAAATTTGGCAACAGCAAAAGTTTTCTAAAAATAACTGTTTTAGACATTTACACAAATCTGTTGTGCAATGTTTACAATGGACTCTGCAGAAGATGCTTTGGTTGCACTTCATAAAAAGGAAAATCAGTCTGCTTAGCAAGCCTTGCAAATGCTGATTTATTATCAGTAAATGTTTGATTTTATACCTATTTTATATATGTATATATAACCAGAGCTGCATAAAAAATTCTCAGGTGGAAAGAGATTATGAGTGGGAAAGGTTTACGCAACCTTAGTATAAAGCACTATATACAAGTCTGGATCCAAGACATTTTGTTGCTTGAGGCAGAGCAGCAAACCTGCCACAGGGAGTCTCTGAGTTACAAGCATCTGACTTACAAACAACTCACAGTTAAGAATGGGGCAAAACAACAGGAAGTGAGAGGAATCTGCCCCCTGGAAGGAAAATTCACTCCTGAAGGAGTTATCATCAGGAAAAGGTGTCTCCACTGAAGTTTTCTCACCAATCCTTGTCTCCACCACAAGACAATTCACAAAAAATACTAAAAACAAATTTCCCACAGCTCCCAGAAATGTACCTATTAGGCATATCCTACCCCAAATTCAACAAAAATCAAGAAATTTTTTTCTTCCTGATGAGTACAGCAGCCAGAATCCAATTAGCCAAAATGTGGAAACAGAAAGAAATCCCGACAATAGAAGATTGGATTATAAAAATATTGGACATAATACAAATGGACTGTTTGTCCCAGCACTTAAACAACTCAACGAAAAAGACAAACTGGGAGGGTTTCAGAGACTTCATCAAGGGGAAAAAATGACTATGGTAATAGATATATCCAGCATCTGAAGGAGACCAACAGATGGAGACAACGTCGGAAAAAGGAAAGAAACAAGAATGTGAATCATACCAGAAGGGAAAGATTCTCTTTGAAGACTTTGGGAAGTCCTTCACGGGGGGGGGGGGGGGGGGGGGGAATGGCACAGGGATATAATATGTTTTTTTTAACTCATGTATCACGGAAAAATTGCACAATAAAAACTATTTTAAAAACAACAACAAAAAAACAAAAACAAAATAACAACAGTATTCTACTGGAAAATCTGAATTGAGAAGCAAAAGTACAGAATATGTATACATTTCCTCAATCTCGACAAGAAACGCCACATTGAGATGTCCAATCTAAAAAACGATTTGACCCCATGAGATTTCTCCCCATGCATGAAAGTAAAAAACAATAATAACAATGTTTTATTATCATCATCATGAATTGAAAAAACAAATTAACTTTTTTCTTGGGCAAAAAATATTGGGTTGGTGCAAATTTTTTGCACATCTTTAAAGGA